AATGTATGACTACAATACGAACAATACGACTTCTTAGACCTGTTCTCAAATACTGAACTTTTGACTGCTACCTTCCCGTATTCAGAGATCCAGAAAAGTAATGTCTCCTTGGTTATTACATTTTCTGTACTAACCAACTACGGCCCCTTTGACAATGCAGCAGCGTGTATTCTTTAAAGATTTCTACGATTTTCCATTCTTTTTTCTATAAATTTCTACGGATATCAACCTTTCACTCTTCATCTTCTTCTTCAGTAGTTTTTTGTTCTTAGGCCTGTACTGTTCTCTACATGATTTCTAAGTATTATTCAATGTTTAGGTCTTTTTGGATCCTCGTATCAATAAATTTTAAGGAGATATTTGTCTCCTCTTTCCGTCTGCCTGTCCTTTTATCTGTATTTTTGTCTGTCTATCCGTTTGTCTACCTAAGATCCTTTTGACCATTTTGCACCTGGTGACATGCCACCGAGACTTAGGTCCTTTTGTCCACGAAACGAAACGTAACGAAATGTATCGAAACGTGACGAAACGTGACGAAACGTGACGAAACGTGACGTAACGAAACGTAACCGAAACGAAACGAAAACATCAACTGTTTGTTTCCCCATTCCTTTCTGACCAATAGCAACGAAGTTATACTTGACAGTTGACAGGTCCTTTTGACTCCGCCATCTTGTATATGGTTAGTTCAAGACATCTGATGGGATATTAACGAAGATATAAAGTGACAAGCGAGAACTAACCCTTGAACTGCGCATGTGCACATGCCATCTAGATGACATTGTCATCTACCATTTTCAACGTTCAAATCCGATCGATACTAACAAAGATATGAAAACGGCATTATGAACTGCGCATGTGCGAAATGACAACTAGATGTTATTCTCTACACGTAGCCGTTTGAATCGCTAAGGCCTTTCTGGCTTTACATAAAAATTCTCTCCTACGTTAATCATTCTCTACGTAATGCCGTTTTTCCCGCTTAAATCGGACCACGTGATATACGCTAAGGCCCTTCTGGCTTTACACATGAGTTTTCTGTTTAATGTTCATCATTCTTTACGTAATGTCGTTTTTCCTGTTTAAATCAGACCAACGATAGCTGAGATATTTGCTAAGGCCCTTGTGGCCTTTCGTTCTGCGCATGATTTTTCTCTTCAACGTTAATCTATACCACGATCTCTACTTAATGCCGTTTTTCCCGTTTGAATTGGATCAATAGCAGTGAAGATACGTGCTAAGGCCCTTTTGACATTGCACAATATTTTTCTCTTCTACGTTAATCGTTCTTTTCATAATGTCGTTTTTCCCGTTTAAATCGGACCAATCGCAGTGAAGATACACGCTAAGGCCCTTGTGGCAATGCGCATGATTTTTATATTCAACGTTCATCATTCTCTACGTAATATCATTTTTCCCGTTTAAATCGGACCAACGATAGCTGAGATATACGCTAAGGCCCTTCTGACTTTTCATTTACCTCGTATATTTTTCATTGTTTACGTCAACTATTGCCGCCATCTTGGATTTTCGACGTTATCATGTTTACTGATAACCCAGACTTCGAACTTCGATTGACCTTTGGACTTTTAGACAAAAATTGCCAGAATGAACCTTAGCGATTTCTTATGGGATTTAACATGGGATACTTATTTTACTTTAAAAAAATATTGTCGGGTGTAGGATTCGCCTCCTCTCGGAGATCTGGGCTGTTAACCTTGACGCTTGATACTAGCAGAAACGTCAAACGTTAACCGTAAAACGTCAAACGGTAAACGTCAAACGTCAAAAACGTCAAACGTCAAACGTCAAACATCAAACGCCAAACGTCAGTCGTCAAACTTTCCGGTGCACATACCCCCATTTAAATCGGCCCACGTGATACACGCTAAGGTCCTTATGGCATTGCGTTGCATACGTTGCGTGCGTTGCATACGTTGCGTGCGTTGCATACGTTGCGTTGCGTGCGTTGCGTGCGTTGCGTGCGTTGCGTGCGTTGCGTGCGTTGCGTGCGTTGCGTGCGTTGCGTGCGTTGCGTGCGTTGCGTGCGTTGCGTGCGTTGCGTGCGTTGCGTGCGGTTGATTATATACATCATCTTGTAAATGATTATTAAATGTCCTCGTGGCCGAGCGGTCTAAGACGCAGACTGGTAATCTCTGGGTCGGTGGATCGATCCCCCGTGTAGTCAGATTTTTTTTAATAAAAAAAAATGGTTTAAAAATTATATTAAAATGGTGTATGGTGGATTGCTGTGATATATTACGTGTATAGAATGAGAGATGGATGACACGTGACTAAACAATTAAAAAGCAATTAAAAATCGATTTGCTGTACACGACACGTGACTAAACAATTAAAAATCGATTAGTAGATAAGAATTGCGTGGGCGTGGCAGGGCGGTATCAACAAAGGAAAATTTGGTTCCCACGGTCAGTAAAAAACACGTGACTAAACAATTAAAAAGCAATTAAAAATCGATTTGCTGTACACGACACGTGACTAAACAATTAAAAATCGATTAGTAGATAAGAATTGCGTGGGCGTGGCAGGGCGGTATCATCAAAGGAAAATTTGGTTCCCACGGTCAGTAAAAAACACGTGACTAAACAATTAAAAAGCAATTAAAAATCGATTTGCTGTACACGACACGTGACTAAACAATTAAAAATCGATTAGTAGATAAGAATTGCGTGGGCGTGGCAGGGCGGTATCATCAAAGGAAAATTTGGTTCCCACGGTCAGTAAAAAGTTCCCAGGCTCAACTGTCCTGACCCCTGCTGATGAAACTTGTTTTGTAGTATTCCCTAGTGGATGGATCGTTTGCTCCAAGTTAACACACCTTACACCACATATTCTCCTTTCCACTAGGCGAGCCTGAAGATGAAGTGATGACACTTCGAAACCGGTCGCACTCAATGTTTTGTTAAATAATTAAACATTGACTTTCCTTGTGAGATATAAAGGACTTTTTCTCCCCCTTCACCTTAAAAGAATATTTTTATATGATGGCTGTATTATCGGCAAAACTGAAATTTTTTCTGTGGTTCTAAATGTGAATTATTTATGAAAAACAAGAAAAGAAATGGCCCTTATATTGTTCCTTGTGGTACACCACTGAAACTATTATTTATTTTGACTGGTTGTCTTCTATC